CCAGAGCCATTCGACTTGGGGGAGTACTATGGGCTTATTGATGTTCCTGTTGATCTGGTTGCTGGAAGAAAGGACAAGGTTATACGGCCATCGATGGTCAGAAAACATTATAAGTTGATGAAGGAATCTGATGTTGACGTATCCTACAATGAGTTTGAGTACGCCCATCTGGACTTCACATTTTCACACCGAGAAGAACTCTTGGCATATGTCATGTCACGCTTGCTGCTTGTTGAGCCAACTCCAAAGCAGCAATCCAGTCAGAAGGCCGTAAAGTTGAAGAAGAGAACCCCAGCTACTAGTTGATCGAGTTCGAGAAAACCCATGCATTTCCGTCTTTTTTCCTTCAGGATTTGGCATGTGCTACATACTCAGGTGCAGATTATTGTTGTAGATGATTGAATATGTCAGGTAAGTCTTTACTCCTGGGCAATCAGTTGTGAAGATTTACTGCTGCGTTTTCTTCCCCCTCTATTTTTTCGCCGGAAGTTAACTGTCCAAAGGCTTGTATATATATACCTTGGATTGAGCTTTGTACAAAAACCGATGTGTATATGTTGTAATGGATCTGGGAATCATGTCTCTATCATGTAACGTTAAATAACAGCGTAGTATGTTTCATCAACTGAACTTTCTTTTCTTTTGATATTGTACCATGAGAAGTTGTGTACATTGTTTTGGTATAATTTCGTGTGGTGTACTACTGAGTACTATTTCTGACTAGATTGTACAAATCATTGTCGGAACCCGTTTTTGTGTTCCCGAAAGCTAGTAGGGATTCGGTATCCTCCCAATCGTTGTTTCTGTTGGAGCATACTGTTGTAGGTGATGCAACAGAGGATGCTGTTGCAGACCATGTGTTTGGGCATGTTGATGTTGTTGATGAAGCAGATGATGCCGTTCCAAACCGCCAGATGTTTCGCCAATATGTTGAGGAAGGTAGGGTTCCTAAGTGGTTAAAGGTAGCTTAGTTGAAACGTTGATTGACTTAATCCTAGTATCCTCGAATGAAATACATATAGCGAATTTGTAAAAAAGAACCCTTGGAACATACTACAGCCCCAGGTGGCAAAGAGCCGACATCGAGGTGCCAAACCTTCCCGTCGATGTGAGCTCTTGGAGAAGATCAGCATGTTATCCCTAGAGTAATTTTTATCCGTTGAGCGACGGCCCTTCCACTCGGCACCGTCGGATCACTAAGGCCGACTTTCATCCCTGCTCGACGGGTGGGTCTTGCAGTCAAGTTCCTCTCCAATGAGTGCACCTCGATGTGAGCTCTTGGAGAAGATCAACATGTTATCCCTAGAGTAATTTTTATCCATTGAACGACGGCCCTTCCACTCGGCACCGTCGGATCACTAAGGCCGACTTTCATCCCTGCTCGACGGGTGGGTCTTGCAGTCAAGTTCCTTTCCAATTAGTTCAAACAGCACTCAAAGGTAGGGCATTTCCCATTTTTATCGGAACTTCTGCACCAGAAACAATAGTATCTCCAATTATAGCCCCTTGGGGGTGTAAAAATATATCTTTTCTCACTCACCGAAGGGAAAACAGTCTCGATGAAGGTGTGGTTTTCGGCAGGGGGAAGATCATCCATTGAGATGGGAAGCCGATTCTAGAACACTGAAAATCCAAATTAATAGACTTGAGATGAGCACAAAAGAGTAGAGAAAACGCTGAAAATTTGTTTTCATTAGGAGACGGCTTACCAGCTCATTATTTCTCAGATTATCAAATATTGGGTGATGATTCATAACTTCAAATCTGAGGATGTGTGTGACCTTGGCATGATCTGGTACACCGGAAGATAAATACGTATTAAGATGAGGCATACGTACACACTCACACATTGATATGAACAAGGAAAGAGTGGCTTTTGTTGTTAGACTCGCAGTCTGTTGAAAGCGGACTGCGCAGAACATTGCCCATCTGCAGTGTCTCTGGTCAATCCGCTGTAAGCCTCAAAGAGTGATTCAAGTTGCCAGATAAACGGAACACAGAGAGAGGATGTTGGACTTACCGTTGCGGTGTTGAGGCCTTCCTATAGGCCTGTTAGTGTAAGGAAAAAAGTCTCGTATCAAATGTTTAGCGAAATAATCTGTTATGGCTGTGTGTGAGATGAACAAGTTCAGATGATTACTAAATCATACCTTGGCTCGGTTTACCGGAATTAGTTGATCGTGATTCATAGAGGATATTGTTCCCTGAAAGCAGGCAAAGGTAAATTAACATACAAGTCTGATCACATATACTTAATCAGGAAACTCAAAAAATGATAAATTTTGTTGAACTGCGGCAAAATTACACTGATTATCCTATGCATGAAGCTGTACTTTTACCTCCCATGCTGGAACATAGGTTTCGTCTTGGGGTGTTTGGTTAGAAGTAGAACTAGCTGCAAGCTCCAGCCCACCATATAATCTGTGAGGCACTATTGCAACTGCGGTTCCTGCAACAAAGGCACCAATTAAGTTTGTCCCACGCTGTCCCGAGAAATTTCTTTGGCTCACTCTAGGGGCACAGGGGACCAAGGCCTATTGGTCTTCTGAGTACCTGAAAAGGGCTGCGGAACGCTTACGTATTCCATGTTTGGATGCGACTTGCAGCATTTATAGCCGCCATCAGCGTTTTGTATTCCTGAGCTGATATTTGTGATAGCTAGCTCTCATGGAGTCTCCCGGTAGGCATTGTTTGGTGTCCTTGACTTTCTCCTCGCGATTTTCCTTGAGGATTAGGTTCCAAAACTCAAAACAAGATTTAGTCCGTGCTGATGGGAACGGAAGAACCTGACAGATCTTTTCAAGGTAGTCTGAGAGAGCGGTGTTCCATTAGGGCCCCATGGCTGCTGTTCCATGAACCACCATGACTAGATACCTTGCTGCTTGTGCTGCCATTGATTCTTCTCTCTGATCACCTGAAGAAACCTGCACAGAAATATGAAAGACAAGCCTGACTACTCTATCTCTCTTCTGATCAGATCTAAGCGTACTGACTCAGTGACTCCCGACTCATTACTGAGAGATAAGTAGAGGTTTTGGTTTGTGTTTTCAAAGCTCTCACTCTCTCACTATATACTCGTCCTCTGTGCAGTGCACTATTCACTAGGTGGGGCCTGGTGGATGGCTCTTTGCCACCTCACTCTTGTTATTAGGCATGTTTCAAGGTAAATGTAACGGCTATATATGACCAAGAGGACGAGATATAGGTATCGAAAACACAAGTCACGTGATGTATCATTTCACGTGTTATAATAAGGGTGGACGATATAGTTGATATATAAAGTTCCACTTATATAAAGGTTATATTAATTAAACCAGATACACATGTGATGGTTTGAATAAAATAGTAACTTCATGTGATCGTGCTCTAGGTACACCGAAAATGTCTTCATAAGAACATGCATAGGTGGACTAATTTATATCAGATACTTGGATTTGGACAGAAATTTAATTTTGGGGGATTCTGTAGGTATGGTAGTGTAAGAACCGGGAGAAGCTAAAGAGGTCTCTTCTGGAATCAACTGCAGAGTTGGAGGAAGCCTAGAAGTATTCGAAGCTATTTACTGCAAAAGAAGTGCTCGAGGAAGTTGAGAATGGCAGAAGAACTGCGCCGATCGAGTGGCATGTGGCCATGCAAAAATCTGACAAAACTTGCTCAGATCCGCCAAATACTCGTACATGCGTATATTATTACTAAGTGTAACGTACGTAAGTAGGGAGTATTCAGCGGATTGTGTGTTAATCAGCAAGTTCTGTCAGATTAGTACATGACCAAACTACACTTGCCGCAGTTCGTCTGCTATATTCTCAACTTCATCCCGCAAAACACTCCCTTTGCAGTAAACAGCTTCGAATATATACTTCCACTCTTCCAATTCTGCATTTATCATCAATTTTATACTCACATAATTAACAATTTAGTTCAACTACAAGAAGCCCGACTTGTACATTAATTAGTTTTTAATTATATAAATAAAAATGACAAAAAAAAAAAGAAATTAGCAAGGTTTCTAGCTTTTCAAATTATCTCATTATTTGAAAGAAATCATGGGTTTTCTGTTCTCATAAGTTATTACTTCATGTTGACAATTGCTTTCTCAGAAAAGTAGAGAGTAAATTATATACCAAATATGTAAGTAATTAAATTAGTGAAAGAAATAGAAAAAATACAATAAGACGTACAAACACATTATATCAAATAATGGCACGAAATTACATTATAGAAATCAAATTATCTTATTTTCTTTTTTATCAAGGAGGACGAAGAATTCAAATTTGACGTTTCTTTCAACATTAGAAAAAGAAGTGCCTTTTTTTTCTTCTTTTGATCAGTCAGAGATAGATAATTCGAACCTAAGATCTCTTTTGACATAGGAAAGAGAAATTCGAAATTCTACCATACTAGGAATTAAACTGTGATTATACACTTCTTTGTAGGTGTGTTGTGAGCAAGAAACTAGGAGATGTTTAGAAACATACATCCTCACCCCTAGTTTATATACTGAAATATACATGAGAATTACAAAATGAATCAAAAGATTTGAAGCATTTTGGGTAATGAAATATAGAAATATTGAAAACCAAATATGAGGAGATACAGCCTTTATGTTGATTTCCATATGTGAGAGACGAATAATGAACTTACGATTTATAGTACTGTCAAAGAAACTTTTTATACTCATATTAACATGTGGCTTACATGCCTAAGTGGTGTCAGTGTCCACTGAAATTATAACTCATGGCCTGCGTGACATGCTGATGTCGTGTTATGAATACAAGAAACGAATAATGAACGCACGATTTACAATCCTAACACAGAAATGTTTTAATAATAACTACAACACCACGTGACATGCATGCCGAAGTGGTGTCAGTATCCACTCAAACTATGGCTCATGGCTTGCATGACATACCGGTGTCATGTTATGAATACAAGAGACAAGTAATGAAACTTCTGATTTGTGGCACTGTCAAGGGAACATTTTGTTTGTAGCTGTAATAGCACGTGACATAAATACCGAAATGGCACCGCTAACTCAAATGAGAGCCCATAAAATTTGCAGAAAGCCCAAAGAAGCAAAATCCACAACAGAAGAAAACCTTCTTCCAAGCCCGCAACCATCGCAAGCCTATTGGATCTATTAACCGGTTCACTGACCCGTCCGACTCAACGCATTTACAAGTCGATGGATCCACGCCCACCGTCTGGGCGCCGCTTGAAACTTTCCCGAGAAAATCAAGGAAAGAAAGCGAGAGAAAGAGAGGGAAAATGGCAGGGAATACTTGGGCCTACGTCCGGATCATCTCCGGCACCATTCTCGGTGGCATTCTCGGCTTCTACGTCATGGACCGCGCCGAGAAAAGCTACAAGGTCAGTCGAACATTCATATTCTTTAATTAGCTCTCTTGTCTCTGTTTGGTTTCCGGAAAAATTCATCAGAAAAGAAAATTACAACTTTCTCAGCTGCCAAACACTGGAATAATAGCGTGAACTCGAATTTCTGATTTATTTGTCGGTTTTTGGGTGATTGCAGGAGAAAGTGCGGGAGAGGCTGAGAAAGTATGAAATTGAAATGAAGAAGAGAGAGAAATTGGACGAGGTTGAAGAGTCTCTGTAGATTTTTTTGAAAGGAGTGCTATATTCATCGAAGATTGAAATACGTACAACCTGAGGATAAGGTGATTAGCTTCGCTGTTTTTGTTCTTTTTAATTTTTGCTCCTGTTTTTTGTTGAGAAATTGAAAATTTTGAACCACATTTTTAAGAGTTGGTGTTACGTTTGTATGAGAAATTTTTTGTTTTGTGTCCGTATTCTGACGATATACGATGCGTAATTAACTTGAAATATCGACCTTAGAGTGAGAGTGATAACACTACAATACGTACTTTCATGCATCAAAATGTCATTATAATAGTATTTCAAATCAATCTCATATTAGAATATTAAAAGGGTAGTGCTATACGCACATCTTATTTTACCTCTCACATACCTTTGTTAACTTTTGATCTATTGATCTTCTTCAATTCATTCAATCGGATGACCGGAAATTGAGAATGGTGTGTGAGGTAAAAATGGGTGTGTAGATAGCACCATCCTATTAAAATGCAAGAGAATGCGTAATTGGCTTTGAAATAAGAGAACATTAACGAAAAGTTCCCGTACAATTCACTTTAACGAGAAACCATATTTTTACACTAAAAAATCAATCTTAGTACTATTTACTTTACCCTTTATTTTGTCATTATCGTTAAAACTCAAAATTTTCAAACCCTTTTCATTAATTTTCTTTTGAAATAAATACATTTTCAGTAAAATAAGAACTCATTTCAAAATGTTCTTAAAATAACTGAAAACACTTTTATGAATATTTTTAAAACTACTCCCTAATAAAAATTCAAGTGAATTATAAAGAAAAACTTTTAAGTGCTTTTTGCAAAAAAAAAAAAACACAAATCTGATGTTTCTTCCAAAAGGCACTTAAAAGTAAAACTAAAATTCAATTTCACCAAAAACGCTTTCAATCATTTTAAAAGCGATTTCTTGCATAGCCCCGACATTAAACATAAAATGGCAAGCTGGTATAACTTAGAAAATTAGAATGGAGAATCAATACTTACACAACACAAACAAATCTCTGTTCTCCAAAGAAGAGAAAGTAGCAGCGATTCTACAACTACGTCCTCGACACTAGACTTCGGGTGTCCGAGCAGGCAAAACTGGAAACTGGAATCAACAATCTGAACCAGAGCTTCATTCCCATATACAAGACGCGTGACTTTCTTCAGAGCTTGAAAGCCGTCTCTGAAGAAAGAGTTTCACGCGTCCAAGACGCCATCTTATCAAGCATCAAGAATCGGGGAGCACTCTTAAGGATGAGTGTCGCGCGCCCGCACACAGGGGTATCAAGCATCGAGAATTGGGAAGCGGTGTTCCGGCCACTTGGGATACGCACGCTTGTACAAACTCATGCATACGGTGTCACTCTGCTGGAGGACCCCATTGAAGATGCATTTCAATGCCCCTGAAACAAAAATCATATGGAAAAAAAAAAAGGCACTTAATAGCTACCTAAATGCAACAACAAAGCACGATCTGTTTCGAACTATTTGGGTACGTCAGAGATTTCAGTGACTTGAAAAATCGATATAGCGGGAAGGGGTGAAAGAAAAAGAGAATAAATTGCTCTGTAATCTTACCGTGTGTACCAAGAGGCTCCTTGATGCGACCACGACGACCACATTTGGTCCATACTTCAACAGGCTGCCACCACCAAGGACATTAAAAACATACCGTAATGATTCTAGTGAATTTTCTCGACACAATACAAAACAAATTTAAAAATTAAAAGATTATCTGCTATCTCACCTTGAACCATTTAACGTCCTCTGGGTTATGGAACATGTATCTTACAGAAGCTTTCAGTTTTGATACTCGTTGAGGGTAACTGCATCAAATATGTTTGTGGTTTAATAAATCAAAACTTTCGAAGGAAAACATTTGTACTACAAAAGGTCGCCACCCCCAACAGTAAAGAATGAATCGTACCCGGTTAAAGTAATCTTCTTTAGTATAATTCTGTCAGGGTCAATGCATTTCAGTGCACCAACAGCAGCTACTGTAGGTGGAGCGGCTACCCCTTCAGAACTCTTCAAAGCTATCAAAGGAAGTGGAGGAAAAGAGATTGGGGCATAAATAGAAGCCATGGAAAAACGTCCTGGATGTAGAAACCTCTCCATTTTATGCTTGTTCGAGTTCATGTTGTCAGTTGAATATATTGGCCTGCAAAGTGATGAGCAAAAGCGTCAATCACTAAAATTCAATAAGTATAAGAGTTGATGGCATCAGAGATACTACCTGGCAATGAATTGGCGAAAGCCAACATGAAATATTAATTCGTCCTTGGATTTGATAGGAGCACTGAACGTGTCGTGCTTCTTTATGCTGCAAAACATAGATCACCAACAATCATGAGAAAACCTCCCCTTCAGAAGACCACAGAAATGCAAATTTTTCTCAACTAGAAGATACCTGAAATGAAGTACAGACATCTTGGACTCATGCTGCAAAAGACCACATGCTACAACAGGAATTGTCTTCGCATGCATACATAATTTAGAAGCAACGCTAGCTGGCACTTCTGTGATATACAGCCTTGCATATGAGCCCGCTGTGGCGCAGTCATCGCTGTTTTCTTGGTCCATTCCTAAAGCTTTAGCAAGAACATTTTTCTGTGTTCTGTTAAAATTATCGAATGCAAAGATTCTGGCGTACTCTGCAGGCAAAGACTCCTGAAGTTCATCAAAGACATACGTCAGTTTGACAATTGATACAAATAGAGTGAACGACTATTGCACAATTACATGAATATTACTTTGGGATCCCATGAAGAGGTCCTGAAGGACTTCAGTCCCCTATACTTTGCAAAACGTTTTCTTGCTGGAATATCTAATGGTGTATCGACTTCATCCGGAAATTCTGAAACATAACAAATAACCATTATAAGCCAACTAGGTAATGCAGCACCAATACATTGACTGAAAGGTGCTACATATATAGTTTTTATAATATAAATCATATAGCGACAGAAAGAACATTGCTAAAAAGACTAGTACCCTCATCATCAGCATGTGCTTGCTTTATTTTTCGAATCTCATTCTCCAACTGTTCCTTGGTCAAGTTTTCACCTTCCTGTAAAACAAAGACTAAAAAGTTAATTCTTATAATGTACAGAACTTGAACAAACAAAATAAAATTCTTAATGACAGCACATAAATATTACCATTCTGACCAGTACAAGTACAGCGACAATTGAATTCTTACAGAGAAATAAACACTGGGTCCTTTTCCTTTTTGAAAAATTCCCATAAACCTTAAATGCTCGCAGATGAATTCTTTACTTATTAATGAAAGTGCTGCAAATAGATACTCATGAGCGAAACCTCCTATGCAGCATTCTAATTCAAACCATTAAGGTGAGTGGTTTATGCACCTTTTTTAAAACCTATTGTCTGAAGTACTATGTCAGTGGTTCAGCTTACCCTAGAGAAACACTAGGATTCTGACCATTGAGAATTAATATCTGACCAAAAGCAACTGACCACAATTTACCTTTGTGATCCATGATTAGAGGATGTGGTTGGTATTTTGGTATTCTTAAATCTTAATGTTCCTTACATTTGAAAATGAATAACAACATGATAGTATTCCATGTTAATTGGTGAGTATTCCATGTTAATTGGTGAGTCTTCATGTTAGATCAGAAACCCTCTCAATGAGAACAGATAGACCGACTAATTCTTGTAATACAATAAAGATCACTTGATGCACAAATAATATATGTGTTAAGCTCACCATCATCACTGAATCAACATCAGTTTCTCCATCAGAGTCCCTTATTGAAGCTTGATCGTCGCTCTCATCTGAATAATTATTGTCATCTTGACCAGGATAACCACCGTCCCTCTCATCCAATATCATACCATCAGCTTCATCATCAGTACTTGACTCCTCTTCATCTGTATCATCCACAATCCAAGCAGCCTGCAAGAACCGAAATCATGCCTCTGTCCGTCACCTCTCAACATCAACAAACAAATATGTGACCAACATATAAGAAAGAAACATTCAGAATTAAAGGAATTGACAAGAAAAGATGCAGACCTGGTATTCTGAAGTGCCTCGAGGAAGAGCCCTCTTTTTCTTCTTTTTTTGCTTCTGACTTTGTTCAGCCTCAGCCATTTCTGCTTCTGTTGGCCATGTCTGACAAAAAAAGAATTTAGGTTTGTGTGAAGTTGTAACTTGTCCCACAACCAGTCCAATAATTCACCAAACTTCATAATAAAGTAAGAAAATCTGAAAGTATATCACATTAGCCGAGCGAAATAGGAGCATTGGAAAAAGCTGACTGGCATGTCAAAACCATACCTCTGAAGTAATTAATGCTCTGGTGCAAAATTTTACTAGCATGACATTCTACTTTTATAGTTCATGCAATTCCACTCAAATCCCCCTACTTTTGTTTTATTCATTCTTGGATTAGCAATATGCAAGCCATATTCTTAATATCAACCCATATTTATGTTAATGGAAATGAGTAAGACAAATAATTAATAGAAGAAAGGTAATCTTGTTACCTGTTCACCTGCAAGGGGATCAGGAACATTCTCAACTAGTAAAGCCTCCTGCTTCAAAGGATCGGGAACCAAAGAACGAAGGACCTTGAAGAAGAAAAAGAGCACATAATATTTCAAAATTTCAAATGTAAAATACTTCACAAAATAAATTAATCGCATCAAATCTCATCATTAAAAAGGAAATAACTTATTCTATAGACATTGTACTTATATTCAAATAAAACAGCTAATACCTCTGCATCACCCACTTCATCCGAGTCCATGGCATCTTGCTCTTTTCTTGCATTCAAAGGAAATGGATCCTTGAGAATTTCCATTTTGGACAGCTGGAAATCCCCCGCACCAGAAACATGAACCTGATATAAAGGAAAATAAGACAACTTCCAAATCATGTGACCAAGGACATGTCTTTGGATGAACTAATTACCAGTTGGTTCACTGAAAGACTGCGAGCACGTATATATCCAGTAAGGAGAAGGGTGCATTTTCCCAAATTGGAATCATCTGCTACCATATCAACCTATAAAAATACAAAATGTGAATAGTTGTTCTTCTACAAGGCACGCATGCCTCGCCAAACTAGAAAAACTTCTCCCCTATAATTTCCTAATGGTTTCCACCTCTACCTAACAAAGAATGACAATGAAGTACTTAGATAGGTTCAAAATGAGCA